GTAACTAAAACTATCAAATTCGTCAACATAATTATTGACGGTATGGTAACAACATTGATTTGTCACATTTAATTATTTTTAAAAATCAATATATTAACACAAATTTAATTAACTTCACAGCATGATGTTTGGGATCTAATGTTTCAATACATGATTACTAATATATTGTCAGTCATATGTATGTCAACAAATATGTACACACTGACACACATGCATCTATCACTGCTTCACCAAGTTTATTTCATATGAGAAAATTGTTCAGACTACAATGCAACTGGACGACTTGGAGTTCGCAGATGACCTGGCCTTTCCATCCCATTCACACCAACAAATGCAGGTCAAGACAAACAGTGTAGCAGAAGCCTCTGCTTCAGTAGGCCTCAACATACACAAGGGTAAAATAAAGGTTCTCAAATACAACACAGAGAACACAATCTCGATCACACTTAGTGGAGAATGACTGGACAAACCAGCTTCCAACTGAAGAGGAAATTAGGAAAAGACGTTGGAAGTGGATCGGACATACATTAAGGAAATCACCAATGTGCATTACAAGGCAATCCCTAACTTGGAATCCGGAAGGGAAGCGGAAAAGAGGAAGGCCAAAGAACACATTACGTCGGGAAATAGAAGCAGTTATGAAAAGGATGAATAACAACTGGAAAGAACTGGAAAGGAAGGCTCAGGACAGAGTTGGATGGAGAATGCTGGTGAGCGGATTACTCTCCTCGACGAGGTGTAACAGGCGTAAGTAAGTAATATTTCATTCTAGGTTTCTGGTCACCCCGTTAGTATCATCGTAACAACTTCTCATTTAGTAATATATATTATCTATGTTCATAAATATTATTGCTCTCGCGTAGATTGAAATAAATGAGAAAAAATATTTCGATTTGTGCATAAATTAATAAGTTTAGACTTTACACGCCACACGAGAACGTCAAGAAATTAAGGAATAAATCATATTGACTTTTTTGGAAATTCGATTAAATTTTTTTTTACATATTCATTAAAGTACTGAACTGATTTCTGATTGTTACGTTTATGCAAAACTATGACTTTTTGTCAGTATTATGAATAAGATAATGTGACATCGGTTGCTAGTAATTGTTTGGTTACTGAGTAGATATCTCAGTCCAACAGAAGATCGTGATCATTCATTGTGTAAAAATATATAGGTTTAAACAAGAATATTATTTTTAATGAAACGTGTTTCAACTAAACAACTGTTCACCAATACGCACTTTTGACCAAGTCATTAAGGGTCGAAACCAGGACCTTAGGTCTTCATCAAGAAGCCATGAATGAAGGAATTCGACGATATCGAATGTGGGGCACACATCCACCGAGTACTGTGGAAGATGGTTGCACGATATCACGGACTGACTGAAGTCAGACATGTAAATCACCAGATTCTGACTCCATGGTCTAGAGATTAAACGTTCACATGAGGAACTAAAAGTCCTAGGTCCGATCCGTGCTGGCGACGGTCATACTAAGACTAAACAGCTGTCCAGTGCTTCCTGGTTTTCAGTGGTTATTCAACTAAGATCATTCCATGTTTTTAACTGTGAGATTGATAAATCTTCATAAACTCCTATAATAATTACGGGGAATTGTTGGATTTATTTTCCAATGGTTTGCCAGCTATTGTCATTTCGGAATGACAGCTACTTACAATTGATTACCGAATCGATTGCTTACAATTGATTACTCCCCAGATCTAAATAGATTGTGATCATGTACTCATTAATGATTGGCTTGTGGACAGACTCATAAAAGTTCTAGTAAAAAGTTATAAAACGTGAAGTGAAAGAAGTGGTAAGGCAGCCAGTAAATAAGATTTTTGGGTGTGAGTTTAACTATATTGTCAATTGGCTGAAATTAAAAGTGTCGACTATTATACTTTAACTTAATTGTTTATTGCTGTCGTGCTAACTACAAGACTTTCATCGTAGGTTGAATTCCATGTGCGGTGATGGGCACTACCTAATGCTGACAGGTCTCGATACTGAGACATAGCAGTAGTCCTTCATTTCCGAATTCTGGATGATTTTCTGTTCCATGATGAAAAGTGAATTGCAAATGAAAATTTTAATCACAGTACAAAATACCTATTTGTTTTAAAGGCCTCAAAGACTTGAGTATTTTAAGTGTATGGATCTAGCATTGTATGCCAGGTGTAGACTGTTATCACTACTAGTATAGCATGAAAATCCATCTAAATTCATAATCCGATGTAAAAAGCCGTGCAACATTGGATAGCTATTAGATATTTAGTATTTATCATTTATGTAAATATATATGTGAACAGAGGCATACAATTAAGGACGGTCGAATGTGTTCCAGAAGTCTCATAAAAACAAATCAAAAGATCTATCTTAGCCCACCACAAAACATACGTTAGTCACTGGTCATAAGATGACTTCATAAATTTTGGTAATGTTGAAATTAATTTTAACAATGAATGGTGTTGATTTATACTATTCTTCCCCCCCTATGATACATTTCTTCATTCCTATCACTTTTCTTGAAATGATGTTAATTTTTCCAAAGGAGGTCGTATATAGATGCGTTAGTTTAAGAGTACATATAGACACACCAAAGTACACTGAAAAATAACGTAAGAACATTAGTAGAATAACATTAGTCACAAAACAACGTCAATGACTCATTACGGAAAGTGAACAGACAGGTGATACATGTGACATTAATTTTGAGTGTTTATTTGGGACGATTAGAATCTATTAATTCATTTACTTTACGTGATTTTAACAGGATAATATAGTGAACGTGAAACCAGTGAGACAGCCTGATGTAAATCGAATACAAACTTACAGAACGTCTTAATAAAATCTCAGAACCATACAGTAAATACTTCATTTGCAAAATGTCAGTTAATTATCTTATACATGATTGTTCCTTTGTTTTCAGACCAATCATTCTCTGTTCTTGTTCTCTTCTCTTCGTTCTTTTTAACACTGCCGCCACGCATTTCACTTTCAACTGATTATACATACTACTTATATCTGTCGACATCAGTAGCACACACCACAGTATTAATGAATTTATCTATTTCATGGTGTACATGACATTGGTGTTAGATAAAAGTATTTATAAACAGTTGTCTACGCAAAATACTCAACATCCATTGACCGGATACTATCAGCAACAGCGTTTTATAGGAGAGGACAAACCAGCTTCCAACTGAAGAGGAAATTAGGAAAAGATGTTGGAAGTGGATCGGACATACATTAAGGAAATCACCAATGTGCATTACAAGGCAATCCCTAACTTGGAATCCGGAAGGGAAGCGGAAAAGAGGAAGGCCAAAGAACACATTACGTCGGGAAATAGAAGCAGTTATGAAAAGGATGAATAACAACTGGAAAGAACTGGAAAGGAAGGCTCAGGACAGAGTTGGATGGAGAATGCTGGTGAGCGGATTACTCTCCTCGACGAGGTGTAACAGGCGTAAGTAAGTAAGTAATAGTCCCTAGTCATAATAATTATTATATTTTTGTTATATCCTAATGAGTACCATGGTACTATTTAGACTTGTGTTAATTTTATGTTGGTTATTCATCTACTCGTTGGGATATAAAATATATATTTATTGACTCACTACCTTATGCTAAATTTATTTGAAACTATCAAGTCCGACCACGGTATGTACACCTAAGTGGATAGCCCTTGTTGATGAGAATGTGCCTGATGAATGAGCTTAAACTTCAGCAAGAAGTTGAACACTAGATCGCAAAAATACAGCTACTGATAAAATACACACTAGATATATGACGACACTGTTTAGTCAAAAAAAATGTGCTGAAGATATTCTAAATATAGGTTTATGAATAAAATACATCATTTTGATTGAATATGTGCGAACAGTGATAATCTTACACCAAACAATATTAATACAGTCCTTGAAAAGTGCATTGATCAACCAGCAGAGCGTCACGAGTATAGTAAGTCACGTGTACGCCCTACAGAGGTGTGGATTATTATAACGGGATGAATATCGGAAAGATATATATTTTTGAACTACTTTTAGGACTATTATTTCTATCACTATTGTATAATTTTCGGATATCTACATTATTGCATTTCTATATCCGCCTTATTGTAGGCTTCCAGTGGACGTATTAACTATTGTCATACGTTCTACTATCCTTTAATTATTTCTAATTAATCATGCACTGCTTGATTTCCTCTCTCTCACTTGTGACATGATTGTATTTAAAGTACAACCTACATCAAAATCACCCACCTGAGCTACAAATCTTCCCCACCATCTCAAAGTACAATTTCTCATTCATTGTGCTATGTTGCATGATAATTCATGTATATAAGCTGATGATTGTTTGAGGTTGATGGCGTGCTGTTGCGCTTGGGTGACTGTAATATGGGAATTGTAATAGCCTGACTGCTGACTTCCCTTCGGACTGAAGGCTGGGAATAGTCAAACAATGGAAGCGTAGCTCACGTTAAATTATACCGGATAGAACGCATCACTACTCAAGGCTAAAGACGTTAGACTATAGTCGGAATAGTAAACACGAAGTAGAAAATTTATTGTCGGTATTTTTTTCGAGGCATTTAGCACGTGATACTTATAGACGTCTCAGTGACGTGACACAAAATAACGAACAAAAGTGCGCACACAATTCTACTTTTGAATGCTCAAATGGGAAATCGAATCCGACTTGCAATAACTCAAATGGTAGAAACTAATTTCAAGTACATTATACTACACCTATTACAACTATTTAAAAAAGATGCTTCTGAATAACGGATGATAATAATTCAATTCTATAATTGCATATATTGATTTTCAGGTCACGGTATCTGTAGTTCAGTCGGAGGATTTAGGTATTTTGCTCTTTTAGTTTTAACAAAACGAGAATCTATGCTGTCATCAGAATTTTAAAACTTCACTTCCTTTTGAAATATGTCCTGATGCCGTTGCCTAGATAGACAATGAAAGTAGCAGGACTAACCATTGTGCTTATAGAACGCAACACCTCCAAAAATATTCATTCTGAGAAAGAATTCACGTATCACTGGCAATGGACAATTGGTTTATGATTTAATTATAGAGTACTGTGCACAGCTATGATTTGGGGTAAATTTTCCTACAATGTACTAGGTATCTTACATACTGGAAAACAGTAAGAATAGAGAAAATTTTCCAAGATACAAATACATGGTAAGTAAATGTAGACCAGTAAAAATCAGGTAGGAGGCAATGTAATTCCAACTGGCTTGTATTTCGTCTATTCTTTGTCAAATGATTGCTATATCCAAATGACAAACCTGTTAACCATTGATGGATGCAGAAAAGCAATATCATTGGTGGACGAATGAATAGATATAGTTTAGGACAAGAAATTATGGTAGCGAAAAGCAGCTGTGTGATCGTTAGGAATTCCGCGTCTGTTGCTAAGCTGAAACAACGTAGGAAGAATGACTCAGTGGTAAGTTGTATTTTTCTGACTTGGAATATTGTGGTCAAAAAATCAGGTACGGACAAATGGAGAACGTGGCACGAATGTGGATTCACCGAAGTCCCCACATATCATATCAACACAGGGAAAGAAAATTAAGAAATTGAGCTTTAAAGGTAATTAGACTCATTATGAAAGATCCAATGTCAAATGCATTATCAATGACGGGCTACGGCTCATGTAGTCAATATAAATGGATAAAGTGGTTGGTTGATAGTTGAAAGGTTTGAGGTTGACAATTTCACCCGAGTAATGGTGATCTCCCAGACCATCACTGTCTATTATAATTTACTTAGTATTGGAATATACTCTAGTACTCTTAGTGACTTGAGCGTAACCTATGTACTACGTCAACACGGAATGAAAATTGCCCTTAGAAAAGATGTACCCCAGAAAGGACAAACATTGACTACAAGTAACAAAATTTTTACATGGAACGAAAATAGAAGCCTTTACAGCTTGCATTTGAGATTGACAATTTTCATACTTTGTTGATCCAGTAGGGCTATTTTGTGTTAAGAATCTTAAAACGGCTAAATAACTGGTCCCATTAATTTTAAACATTGTAGTCGACTCCGAGAATCCAGATATAAAAAAACACCGAGGTCAATAATTCCTTATATGGTAAACAAGAAAACTAGACAAAAGAGGGATGACAACTGAGCGACCAAGCCTTTAATCATCTTAATGGATTTTAGTAGCGTGCACGGAGCTGAAACAAAACAATCAGGAGTTTGTACATTGATGACCCTTAGCGATGATCAAGGCACTCATGAGTAAACATTAGTGACCAGTAATACTAGCCAAACGCTTGGACGAACGAAAATAGTTGAGTAACATCAGGAGTCAAACATATGCAATGTAGAGCTTCGAATAAGTTGTGCATCGGCTCAATTCACTACCTTATATCAGAAGTTCAGCAAACATGTAAATAAAGAAAAGAAAGTTGTGAATATTTGCTAAGTGATACCTGTAGAAAACCACTCTCATAGATTAATAACTGACTGAACTATTTTGAAACCACATAAGGAATTGAAGAGATTGGTCAGCTGATGAGATCACAAACCTAAATATTGTAGGATGGTTAGGACTCATGCTACTTACCTCAGCTACCTTTTAACTAGAGATTGACTAGTTTTAGTGAAATTTATTGCCTTTAAACAACATTTTTGATACGCGGAGATTATCAGGCAAAAATATTGTTTCGTAACAAATAAAAAGTGTAGGAAATTATCTGGAAAGTATATTGCGTACAGTTATTTTAATATGACGTACACATGCAGGAAAATGATTAACCAATGACTTGATTTGACAAAAATAAAGAAAATGTTATTTTATAGATTTTTAGACACACTTCTAAGTTGTCTGTGTGAAAAGAGGAAAGTAAGGAAGTACGATCATAGGTACACTAAAAAAGACGACTACACACTTACACATGTGTTAAGTGATGCTTCCACAAAATATTTAAACAATCATAGTTGAATAAACGAATTTCAGCTGGAAGGTTACATATGTTAATATAAATGACGAAAATTTCTGTGATTAAGAAGGTAAGGAATAAAACATGGCTACACTGAAGTATATAAGATGAAGCTAAAAGAACTGACAGTGTTTGTGATTAAGTCCGATCATTTGAATAATCTATTGTATAAGTAAACCTAATCATCAAAGTGTGTAATACTTGGCACCATAACTATTGGCTTAGTTTCTGCATCTTCTAGTTTGACAACACGAAGTGTGTTTGTAGAACCGGAGCCAGCTTTCCAACCAGTTACGATTATTACGAAGCACCCAGGCGAGAAAAATGAACGCTTTTTACCATAATCAAGAGCATAACGAATTCTACGGTCCATATCTTCATACCATTCTCCAGCTCGTGATTCTGTAAAATACATTACATTACACACAATAAATTTAGTTGAATATTTGATAATTATAATAAAATGTTTCTGATTGTTTATATACAACTTACCGCCATAATAGATAGGATGGACACCACGATAAAGGTGAATTTGACGAGCAATAACTTCATGACGTGTCACAGTGAGAATCGGGCAACGAGGTCTATGACGTGAGATCAGTTGGCATGATCTATTATTAAAAAAAAGAATTAATCAAAACGAATGTTAAATATACATAATTAAGATACATACATCGATATTGCAAAGTACCCTTTAAAGCATAAAAGAACAAGGTACATATAAGTGCCTTCTTCATTTCGTTAATCATTCTAATCTAAATGATACAACACTAGACGAAAACAACTAACAGATTAGGCAACGCGAACAGTTAACTAAATGTATTTCACGAATAAATCCTATCCTCTAAATAAACTTTATTTTCTCAATAAAAACACTCGCTATTTTAAATAATTATCTTTTATTATCGCAGGATATTCAAACGTGCACCGTTCGAACTGGGTTCCTTCAACGTTCGCACACTAATGCAGATCGGACAACAGATAGGGCTGGGTATGTTTTTAGAAAGTCTTAATATCGACGTTTGTTGTCTATCCAAGACCCGTATTCGAGACTGGTGAAGTACTACAAATTCGCTCTCCATCTGTCAAAAGGCTTGTTTTACGTGCGTTTATCCGGGGACGCTGTGGTATCTTCGTCTGGTCTTGCTGGCATCGGTGTCGCACTAAGCGCTAGAGCTGAGGCAGCACTAGTTAACTGGATCCCCACTAGTAGTCGGTTATGTGTTGTTAGATTAGAAAGCTCCATCAAAGTGAGGAGAAATCGACGTGAGAAACGGTGTTTTTTTGTCATCTCCACCTATGTCCCGTCAGATTGAAGCCCGGATGCAATCAAGGATGAATTCGACTACCAATTAACTGTTCTTCTCCAGAAAGTGCGTTAGACAGATATTGTAGTACTAGCCGGAGCCTTGGATGAAGAGGTCAAGCGTCTAGAAACAAAAGTGACTAGCACTAACTTCCGGCGGTCATAGCCGATGTGTCACCTGGCGTCCTCCCTCTTCATCTCAAGCCTGGACTCAGATTGATCACATCGCGATCATCTATCGCTGGCGGGGTTGTGTACATGAATGCCACTCTTTTTGAAGTACCTATCTGAACTCTGATCATGCCCTAGTTTGTGCCAATCTTACCTTACTTTTCAGTGGCCAACGAATTGACCGTCATCGACAGATTGATGTCAGCAAATTGGTTACAACTTCTGTTGCAACTAAGTATCGAACCGAGCTAGCTTCTAGGCTAGCTACCATCCCACCGAAAAGTATAGATGAGCATTGGTTGCAACTGTATGACGCCATGAAAATGGTGAGTAAAGCCGCTTGCAGCTTTGTGAAATACCCCGCTTGTAAGCATTAGGTTTCTTCAGGCTTCTTACAACTATTTGTTTATTTATTTAAACAAATAAATATTGGTACAAAGGGGCACCAGATAAATATGCGCCACACAAAACTTATTCGATTTGTGTGAGGGCTGTGATACTGAAGCAGGGCCACACCCGGAGCCTTTGACCTAAAGGTCTGATCCACAAGGCAGTGGAGCATCGTGAGGAGATGCAGTCGCATGGTAGCCGATGACCAACGATTGATTCATACGCCATTTGTTCCCTCTGGATACTGGAGCCCATGTGCACTATTGGTTTGGAATCAGGGTTTTCCAACTCCCCTAGGTGGACGTGCCGTGTCCACGAACCCGGTTAAAGGGGCCGAACATTCACTTTTCGTCCTTTCAACTTCGTAAACAACACCATCGTCCCTGTAACAACTATCGAAGGATAAGTTTACTTCCGACTGCGTCCAAACTATTGACTTCTGTCATACTTCGTAAATTCCTCAAAACCCGAGAAAGATTGACTCGAGAGGATCAGGCTGGTTTTCGTTCTGGTCAAGGTTGTATTGATCATATCTTCACCCTGTGCCAAATGTTAGAACACCGTTATACTTATCACAGGCCAACAATTGTAGTGCTTCTTGACATTAGGGCTGCCTTCGATTCGCTGGACAGGACTGTTCTCTGGGATTGTCTATTGAAGAAGGGTGTGCCTGAGAAGTTTACTAACACCTTAAAGACCCTATATACAAACACCTCAGGTAGATTGAGGGAATACAACCACCTTTCTCCATTGTTCCATTCAAGCAGTGGGGTTAGACAGAGTTGCTCAATCTCACGATTCTTCTCCAACTTTACCATCGATGATATTCTGAAAACAGCTCTGATGGATGTAAGTAATGACGGTGTGGATCTGTTGCCTAGAGAAAGACTTCCCGACCTTGAGTATGCGGATGATATTGTCTTACTGTGAGGTAATGTCCAACCTTGAACCTTCGAAGTGCAAAGCACTTCTACAAGACAGACAGGATCTAATCCTGTACTCACCCTAGGTGACTAGGAGAGTGAAGTAGTCAAGACGTTCATGTATCTAGGTAGCTGCACAAGTGCTGGTGGTGGCGTGAGTGATGATGTCAATTCACGTATAATGAAAGCCAGAGAGGCTTAGGCCAATCTGGGTCACCTTCGGAGCCTTCGTGATGTTAGTTTCGCTGTAAAAGTTCGGATCTACAACGCGTCTGGGAGAGCAGTTTTACTCTGTGCTTGTGAGACCTGACCTCTCCGAGTTGAGGATGCTAGACGACTCTGTGTTTGATCATCGTTGTCCCCGAAGGATTGCTCGCATTCAGTGGCAACATCATGTTAGTAATGCACAGGTTCAACATCGTATGTTCGGGCACAGCGACGATAGTTCAATTAGTGTCACCATCTTGAAACATCGACATGGACATGTTCTACTAATGTCGTCCCAGAGAATTCCTCGTCCTGCATTATTTGCCGACGCTGAAACTGGTTGGGAAAAGCGGAGAGGTGGTCAGTGTATGACATGGTGTCGTGATATCAAAGAAAGCTGCAAAGGACTGGCTTTTGTTGGACCTTCCCGACTCCCTAGCTGGGGTCCGAGAGACGGTGCAACACAGTGGCTAGAGACGTTATCAGATATGGCTCAGAATAGAAGCCTATGCGATCCTGATGTAACCTTCTTTTACTTTCTTCATAAAGTGGTTGTAACTTCCTTAACTGAAAGAATTCTTCTGGTTGTACCTTTCCGTTTCCTCCATTATTATTCCTATTATTACACTAATCTGTGCTTGTTATTGTTCTTCTTTTTTCCTTGAACGCACCTTATTTTCTTTCTCCCTTCCCATTCTCGGTGTTTTGTGTGGCGCATATATATCTGGTTTCCTATTGTACCAATGTTTATGTGTTTAAAATAAAATAAGTAAATAAATAAATAAAGATGTCAACATTATGTGTTAAGATCTCCAAGTCCTTGAAATTGTCGAATAATGATTTTGAGATATAAGAATATTTTATGTTTGTTTGAATCTCAGCCATGCGAGTTTTATTGGTTTATCTTTTTCGTGACCAAATATTTACATTTATTGTTGCGTATTCTTTAGCTTCAACATTTCGCGAAGTTTTTTCTCCAATTTTGTTATTTAGATGTTTCAAGTTTTAACAGCTAATTCCATTTAGTTTGTTTGGTGATTTTTTCCATCGAATGCTTTGTTGAACGTCTATTATTAATAACAAATTTTAACCAGCTTGATGAAGCTCAGTGCTTTTAATATATTGAAGTATTTCCAAGTATTTCATTGACTGATTTCTAAATTTTTATTTATTTAGAATAGTAGTATATTTCTGACCAGTTTTAAATTTAATAGAAACGATTTTGTATGTGGTCATTGATTAATGTTATGTAAGATAAAAACATACCGGCCAGATGTTGTAATCACAATGATAGCGGCAGCATTACAACGACTAGCAGCTTCTACTGCAGCAATTGCAGTGGTGTGAGCCATTTCAGTTGGACCATATAAAGAAGATTTCAAATCTTCAAATAATTGTCCATGAAACATTGCTGCCTCAGCTTGTATACATATACGGTGCATAGTTTGTACAGTCTCTAATGGATATAATCCTTTGGCTGTTTCCCCTGAATTATAAAATATAAAATAAGTTGAAAAATGAAAAATTTATTTTAGTTGATCGATAATTAAAAATTTGATAATAAACTATGGATATTGTTGTGAATAGAAAAAAGCATATAATTGAAATTCATCTGTTCGTCAATTAAATGACATTGCTTTTAGATGGGTAATTTATAATTTATGAAGTCACATTTCTGTTGTTTCTCAGACACCAGTACCATCACGTCTCTAGTACTGAGCTAAGATTATTAGCTAGAAAAATAAAAATGGATGGAACAATTTCCTAGAAAATAGAATAAAAGATAGAACACTATCCAAACGAAATATAGGTGGAGATCAATTCAATTTGGAAGGTAAGAATCTGATGAGGTGAGCAATAAGTTGAATAGATGTTTGCATTTTTAGCGAAACCTTCGTTTAGATTGACTTCAAGCAGTTGACATTTTAAAAGCTTTTTGGTGTAGTTTTAACATGCGGACTTTATTGAAATGCAATTAATTTAATATTGATGGCTTAGTGGTTAAGGAGTTCAACTTTCAACTACTAAGACCTAGGTTTAAACTCATCTCTAACTACTTTGGTTTCGACAACCAGGGTAGGTATCATCAGCTCTTACAAGCAAATTGTGGTTAATACCCAGGTACCTATCTGTTGAATGAGTTTTAACATTCAATAATGCGTAGTTTGAACTGGCACTCTTGCTGGTCAATGCATAATTTGATATTTAAATGCCCACTGACCCAACAGACAAGACATTTTATTTAAAAGAAATATTGTATGACTTTACGATATCAGCTGAAATATGAACAAGTGTTTCCTATTTGTATGGTTGATATAAAGATAGAAAAACGTTTATCACCAGTTTTTAAAAAATTGAGCCCATCAGTGGACAAAACGGAGCTTCGATTCAGTATGTAAATCTGAAAGGACAGAGTACCTAAGAATCTGGGGGAAAATAGTGCGAAAACGCATAATATTGAAAATACATAGGGTTTGACGATCAAGTAACGTAGAAAATGTAAAACGTTATGAAATCAAAACCAACCTGAAAGCATAACACAGTCTGCACCATCAAGCACTGCATTAGCAACGTCACTTGATTCAGCGCGTGTTGGACGAGGCTTAGTAGTCATTGACTCCAACATTTGTGTGGCACATATCACAGGTTTGCCAACCTGATTGCAGCGACCAATCATCATCTTTTGCGCTATGAAAACCTTTTCAGCAGGGATTTCTATCCCTAGATCACCACGAGCAACCATAATTCCATCAACAACGTCAAGGATTTCATTGAATCTGGCGAGAAATTGGACATTTTAATCAAAACATTGCAAAACAGAAAGGTGTAAAGACACTAACAAGACCTCAACAGCAAGTTGATATATCGTCTCATTTGAGAGATAATCATAAGACGGAATATGAAAGTTATCTGGAGTCCTTCGTAAAAATTTTACTTTGCTGAAAAGACCAACCTTTTAAAATAAACGAACCAAGAGATACGACAAATATGAATATGATGTCATTAAATCGTAAACGGGAAGAAAAGAAAGAAAAACAACATAACAATACCTTATCTTGAATATGCCCCCAAATGCCCTGGTACGGCCGAGAGTGGGGACAGTCCGCTCTCCCTCTCGAAATGCTCTCACATGGCCACGCGAACATATAGCCTCTTTCTGCTTGACCGGTCTCTCTACCTTATTCTATTTTCCTACCACTTTCTTCGTTGTGTTATAATTGTTGCATATTCCCTTTTCTTGTAGCTTTTTCCGTTGTCATTGCTTGTTCTTCAACATATTTCTGTCTGTCAGTTCTAATGCTCCTCTCCATTCTCTTGTTTAATTCTGGGTATTCAACCTGTGACTTGACTTTCTCTGTTCTTGTCCAACTGTTGTTGATTGCTGGCCTCTTGTTCTTCCTTTCTTCAATCTTGTCCAGTGTTTCGATAGAAATCCATTCCTTATGATGATGCTACCTGCGACCCAGCACCTCCTGACACATTGAAGTTAGTGCTGCTTTGATCTCTTTTCCGTTGTCCTCCATAGTAGTATTCTCTCCTTCGAGTAGATCTTGTAAGGCTTGTGACCTGTTGTTGGGATCTATCTTGAATCCGTTCAGTTTGTCAGTATTTAGAAGGAAGTCTGTATTGAACCTTTGTAATGCTGTTTTCCCAGTTGTCCAATGCTTCTTTAGCTCTAATTTCGTCTTAGAAACTACTAGGTAGTGAACAGATGTTATATCAGCTCTGTGTTCTCACATTTTCGAATAAACTCATAACAGCGGTTGAGGCAGAATAATATGCATTCATCATATTCCATGGCTTCTAATCAACTGCTTACAATCATGTATGTATTAAAGTGTAATATTCAGGTAAGATATAATGTAAAACAATTGAAATTGATGACGGAGAGGATTAGAATAACAAGGACTATTAATAATAGCTATATATTTTTATCTGCTAGAACAGGTGTGAGGTCGTTTGGAGATGGAATTGAAAAAAATAGGAGTGTCAGAGGGACAGTAATGAAATGAAGTCCGGAAACAGATGAGATAGCTTGTGTGATAATTATGGAAGTTGTGAAAAGTTGACATAAGATTCAAAACACTTGAAAATAGATATAAAAGACATTTACCTATGAGTAGCTAATTGTCTAGACTTAGAAATCGATAAGATGGGTTACGCAGTTCTCAGACAAGATTTGAAGAGTTTTAATAAGTTTACAGAATTAAGTGAATGGAAAAGCCGATGAATGAAAGGATGGTTTTAGTGTACGTAAAATAAGAATTGGTTTGTCAGAGAACACAGCAAAATAAACACTAATAAAATAATGATAACAAGAACAAAAGATGGTAATTGCTGGTGAAATTAGTCGAAGCTGTGAAATTACCACGGTAGTGACAAGTTGATTACTGTCTTTTTCTGGATACATAAATCAGGCTTGAGTTTCTATATTGCTACTGGTTCAGCAAACTGTAGAGATGTCTTTTTCTTGTCTGGCAATAAATTTGAAGGACTGTGGAATGTCGATGGTATTCCCGGTATCAATTAAATGCCGAGCTATGGCACCATTTAGAGACGTTGGGCCTCTTAGTCTTAAATTCTTTGGAACGTAATCGAAAATATGAACATGCACTCTCCTCTCTGTTCTTTCAATGCATTTGATTTAGCTCAGGCATGTATTTTGGTCAGTGCAGTTAGAGGTAGTGAGAAACGAGGACATGTCAATTGTTTGCTTGAATGACGATAACGGGAAGGAAACCTTTGAATTATGTTCATTTTGCTTGATAAAACAAATGATTGGATAATCAAAGTAATCGTTAGATCTTTTGTATTAAACTATCGATATCAAACAGATTAAGTGACTGTTTAAGTGTTCAGTGTTAAAGATAAAAAAATGATAATATGCATAGATTCCTGGAAAAATTCATGATTATTCAGAAAATTTATTTGGATAATAAAATAATTTCATCTTACTGCCAAGAATTATATTATCGAATGCGTTTGTTTTTATTATTTAGGTGGTAAGGTATTCGCGTTTTATTTATTTTCTTAAAAATATTGTTTAATTATAGCATGGAATGAAATCTGACCATGTATAGATTGACAATATATTTGCATGTTTAAAGGTATTTGTTTTACTGTGATGAAAGGTTTCTGACAAAACTTTCATTAATGGACCACATGATTTAATGAGAACTATTGGAAGTAGACAGATTAAAGATATGATGTTCTGATTATGAAATCATTTCACTGTGTAACTCAATAATCTTTTTTTATTAACAGATTGTAATAAGAGTTTAGATGGAGTAACGAAATGATGACATCCGTTTTAGTGTTGTTTTAAATCATTACCTTTTTATTAAGAACTTAGCAGAAGCAAATTCTTGCAGCGGAATTACATTACATTAAGTTTCTTAAATGAACACAATCACATGGCTATAATTATGATAGTTTTAAAAATCAATACTAAAATTTTTCCAATCCTAAAGCTATCGAACAAATAACTCATATAGTGTAACCAAATGCTACTCTAACGGTAACATCGAAACATCTACATTATCTATATTTTGTATCCCTTAAATAGTTGAGTAATATATACTCTAAGTAATTTTCTACAATGGTTTGAGTCGTAAATTGTAATCTACACTAGGTTTGATATCGACAGAATATTTGATTGCCGCAGTGTATATGGGTTTAGATACTTTTAGAACGGTTTTAGTTCACTAGATATATTTGTGCACGATAAGACTGAAATACTTACCGTTGGACGCCTTCATGATTTTCGATTTTAGCGATGATCTTAATGTAGGCACCATTATCACCGAGAAGTTGACGGATCTGGTGTACAGCATCAGCATTCCGAATGAAAGAAGCAAACACCATGTCAACCTTGAAAGGTTTAATAGACATTTTATGAAATGACGAAACAGATAAGACAATTTATAAATTGTATGTAGTAACTTGTCACATGCAATATAATATTAACGTTTTTGAGAAACTATATATCACCTAACTAATTTTAGGTTGTTCTTTTATGAAGCGTATTTGTGCAATATTAGGGTACAGAACAAGTTGAAAGTTATTGGAAAACAATATGTAGAACAGGAATGTTTGTACTTTGACATCACATTCAAATCAAATTCACTGAGAAAAGTAGTGTACGTTTGATAATCCATGTGGAACTAACAGTAAGACTAGTTTGTTAACGAAAAATTAAAACGTTATACCATTGGAAAGATGATTGCGCAGTTAATATTATTGAGTAAGAACCTACGTTATGCTCGACTGCAAAACGAAGATCTTGTTTGTCTTTCTCTGATACTGCAGGTAAATCGACATGGGCCCCTGGGAGATTAACTCCTTTACGAGACCCAAGCTTTCCACCATTTTCAACTTCGCATTCAAGGTAATCAGGACCTGATATTAAAGGAAAAATAGATAGACAAATTATATTATGTATCAATCTAAGTATATGGATACTTTACAAATATTTCTCAAGAGTAGTTCTTTTACTACATAACGTGCACTAAGGTGGAAGTAGAAAATGTGTTTGGCATTTACCTATGATAGTTATGCTACTAGAAATCTGTGTACAATCTCGTTTGTGAGCTTAAGTAGTTTGGTTACGATATGGTATGTGTCAGAAGAGCTTGTAGTGACCGGCTGGTCTCGATAGGAACACGATTGGAATAACAGAAACAATTATTATTATTGTAACCAATTGTACCAGTGAATGTTTTACTGTATTTGTTTAACGGTATCAGACTCACTTCTTGTTTCGCTATCCGCCTTGTTCGGTTCGAACTTTTTTACGCTCTGCCCATTTTGCCTGTACCCGTTGGCACGTCTTGGTATTCTATCGATACCACGAGATCGCCAATAAATATAGTTAATCTGGATTAATAAAGCATTCTAATTTACGAGTTATCAAAGGAACCAAGTCGTTGCTGGACGTGTAATTGAATTGTGGTAGTGATCGTAGTCCGTCCTCGACTCGACCCTACTACATCTGGTGAGCCGTATTTGGAACACGCACTACAAGCTTAATAACAAAAAACGTCTTGCCGGGAAACTGTGAAATGAAGCACGGGTTAACATAAGCTTGTTTTGGGGAGTAAGATATCTACAGAAATCTCTAACTGTAGATTCATGTCCTTTGACAAAGGGATGAATTCACAGAGCTTAACAAAGGATATTCTAAACTGTGATATTGGTTCGTTTGGTCAGGTGGTCATGATATTTATTAGATTATTAACTTTGACATTGACCATTGAAGAAACTAAGCTGTGGAATTTAACACAGGTTGGCTTTCAGTTCACTCATCGATTATAATTAACTACCAAAACTAAGTTTTATATGTAAATAATCATACATACCTATGATTTTTAAAGCTAAATAGTGAATTTAACTTTTGACTGAAGATAATGTAAAATGAATGAACACAGAAAATATATGGGGAATCAACAGACACATTTGATATGAAGTGAAACTGGAACACTTACCTTTATCCAAAACCACTAAGCTTAGTAAACCATCATCAACGAAAATCTTTGATCCTTTAGACAGAACATGTACAATATTTCGGTAGTCCACGTACAGAATAGACTCATTACACTTTTCCATGTATGCAGAATCAGTGGTTACACGGATTTTATGACCAACTTCAAGACTGACTTCAGCAGTCCCACTCTACAAGAGAAAATGTACTTAGTATATAGTGTGTACCAAAAAGATATACGTAAGGCAAAAAGAAGTCGGAGTGGTTCAGGAGGCAGGTACATACTTAGGTGGTTAACAATCACTTCAATTTCAAGTGCACTCAACAACCTTAATAAATAGTTAACATTTGAGTTATCTAAATAATTTGATCGGGTCATACCTTTCGGTATGCTCCATATTTTCGTTACATGGAGAGAAATGAATTAGTCTTACGAGATAGTCCTGGAAACAATACTTACATATTGACTTCAAGTAACGCACATCAGTAAATCATCTCAAGTGTTTGTTTTAAAAGTCAACCAATTTCACGTGGAACTGTGAGCTTTGCTAATAACCTTAATTGTTATCATATGTTTCCCTAATAACAATGTGACGGTAACGAACCCGGTTGTGAATACTTGAGTAACTGGACAACAGAAACTGTTAGAAATAAATAAAAACGTAACGCTGGTCATGCAACGCACTAGAAGTTTTGAATTAGTAGAACTGAACGGTTGGAAAAGGAAAGGGAAGTTCCACAATTGTGATCAACATTAACCTTACCCCATTAATGAGACCAGTACGAATTTCAGGCCCCTTGGTGTCCAAAGCAATCCCTATTGGTCGAGGAAACGGTTTTAAAGTTGAGGCAGCTTCTCGGATCAACTTAATGGTTTCCGCATGATATTCGTGTGAGCCGTGAGAGAAATTGAGACGAGCAATATTCATTCCAGATGTTATCATATTTTGTAGCATCTCAACGGTACGACAAGCAGGACCTAGTTTACAAAATAAGCAGAAAGGTCAAATATTTTCAGAGCCAAATGTACACATAAATTTTTGTTAGCCCTATAGGACTAATGAGTAACAATAATGACTGGACTAATATATAGCAGGAAAAGAAATCTTCCTGAAAAAATTTCCATCATGGCGAGAAATCCAACTATTGATGAATAATGATACTCTGTTGATAGTCATGCTTATTTTTGTTGTTTGAGGTTAATTGAATAAACAACTGGCGTTCATAAAAGTTATCAAACTCCTATTGTCTGTGTAACTCCAATGATTGAAACTTGGTACGTTTTATTTACGATAATGGTGAATTCAGTTTTATGAATTACACGATGACCATAAACAGAATAGCCAGAAGCAACAAATCTCATTGACTACTTGAAAAAAGGTCACTTTTCAGTATGTATACAAATAGTTGAGAATAGTTTGGTAGCGTAGCTTTTATACTTAGTAATCAACGCAGGATTTTATGGAGGTAAAGAACGTATGACCAAGAACAATCTTATATCGTCCCCAGATATCACAAATGGAATTTATTTGTCCAAAGTTAAGATGGTCGAAAAATGTGGTGCAAATGGATTCATAGCAAAACGTTTGGTAAGCAGACGGGCACCATCCACAAACATCACATTGCATAGTGAACCTCGGACGTAGTTTGCTAGTCCGAAGTAACCTAATAATAGAAAACTAAAACAGCAATTACGGAATGGTACGACTCAATTGCGTCCTGATGAACTTGCGTAAGCGTAATATGATGGATATCGCACCTACTTTAACAAAACGGAACCGATTAGTTGGCTTAAACTAATAGGATTGTCGCTACTCAACCTAGTAAAATAGCATTATGAAATGAAACTTGAGATCAGAAGAACGCAAAAACACTCGTTAACCTAGAATCTGGCTACTTTTCTTAGGACCAACAATATTCGTGCTACAGAAAGACAAAAAGAACTAGATAGAGTTGATCCTAACTATGAACGCAACGCCGTCAATGAGGGAAATCTTCGTAAATATACATTAGCTATATACTCAACAAACAGACCACTTGGGTGTGAATAACCCAATACCTTAAACTGCAGACCCATTTTTACTCACAACGCTATTCACGAAACAAGTTTGTTACTTTTCAAGAAATATTGAAGAAAGAGACTTTTACAGTAGCTTACCGATGGTGCATATTATACCAGTATTTCGGACACATGCAGGTTGATGGTCGATATCAAGGCTAACAACATGTTCCAATAACGAACGTGGATATACAGAAAGTGGTGGATTCTGGTGATATGGAGACACCTCACCAAACCTTGAGACCGAAGAAACCCCATGAAATGACTGGCTTCCAATAGACCTAGAATTAGGAGACGCTATATTCATATTTATTCACAACTTACAAGTTTGAACTCAGCATCACGTAGATAAAGGCTGAGATTCGTAAATACTCCGTAAAGCAATGCGAACACAAATCTCAATTGGTAAATTTAAAGATATATTGAATGTTCAGTGTATTTTGTAAAAAGCTTCTGACTTTTTCAGTTTTGAAACTAATAACTGAGTTGAACACAAAAGTTCCCAATTCACAGTGGTATCAAGACTTATGGACTTTAAGTGATGGAGACGTTGAAGCCAAGATTCAGTTTCAGTTTGGACGTGCGCTAATTCAAAAGGATTGTGGTCTTGTTTCTCGTCGAGTTAAATGCACTATTTTGACCTTAAATTACGCATGAAAACTACTGTTCACACTTTAATTGAATTAATTTAAGTCAAAGTGTTGTTGTACTCGTGTGTTTTTGATCTTGCTTCTGTATATTTACTGCATCAAAGCATTCTTCAGTTTCAGTTTGGAAAGGACAGTCCTTGATAGCTTGATAGGCTTGATAGCCTGTGTTAGTCCTGGCACTGATGGTCTCTCAGCTGATCCAACTTTCTTTTGAAAGAGTTGATGGATGGAGCCTCAACCACGTGCTGAGGTAATGGATTCCACTTGTTGGTGCAAGTGTAAGATACAGACCTCCAATCGAATTCCACTCATTGATGATTCGATGAGAAAGTCGGTACTCAGCTGACAAGTAATTCGTTCTTGGCCTGTGAACTTTTCCGGAGTGTCCTCGTAGTTTTTCCAGGTCGTTTTAGAGTTCTAAGCTATCAATCCTACTTTGTGTCGCTCTCCATATCTTGACATCTTCAGCATACAGCAAGACTGATGACGATAGTAGACGAGGGAGGTCATTTACGTACAAGAAGGATAACACTGGCCGCCAAACCGTACCCCAGGGGAGGGCTCCACTAAGCACATTTTTCCAGCTAGATAATTTTGAGTTCACCCGTACTCTTTGTTGACGCCCAACTAGGAAGTCTTTTACCCATATCAATAGATTGCCTCCAATCCCGACGTTCCTTAGCTTATATAACAGCTGATTGTGCGGAACTTTGTCGAAAGCTTTGCTGAAATAGATGTAGGTTACGTCTACAGGTAACTTTTGGTTCTTAAGAGCCCAACAGCTTTCATGAGCGACTAATAAGTTTGTGAGACAAGAGTAACCTGTTCTGAAACCATGCTGCCTCTTCGAAAGGATCTGGTTTTCATCGAGGTAGTTAAACAGCCCCTTTCGAATAAACGTTTCTAAGATTTTAACAATTACACTAGTTAGGCTAATGGGTCGGTAATTCTAAGGTTTATGTTTCGTACCCGTTTTGAAGACAGGACTTACTATGGCGTTATCCAGTCCTTTGGTAAACGACCCTGGGTTACGGATAGAAGCTTTGGATTAAGGCAATAACTTATGTTACGCTGAATTCAACTTATCAGTCTCTTTTTATCTTCACTATATATATACACCTCATACACATTGATTATCTTTTGCACTTAATTGAAACTTTCAGAGCATCACCCAAAACTATGACTGTGCTCGCACAAACACTTAGTCTAACGTCATATCTTACCGCAATAATAAGTTATTTACTTATTAATTTATTCTGTTTTATTTTATTTTTATTACTCGTTTTTGCTATACATACATAGTTGTTTATTCTTGTTCTGCGTTAAGATATTTACGTCTCCCGCGTCTCCTTTATTTCTATTTCCTTAGTTTCTTCCTTTCCTCCTTCAAAATCAACTCAAAATTCTTGCTAATTACACAGAACCTCATTTATTATTACTATTCTATTATTAATATTTTATTTTCCTTTTCCTTCCTTTCTCAAACATGGCATATGTATTGTTAACATTATTGAAAATTGTGTATTGTTGCATTTTTGAAGAAACCTGAAATGGTTTCTTCACAGCACTTATGTACCCATAAGGTGTTTGTGAATAATAATAATAATAATAAAGCATACTCTTAAAGGGTTCGCAAAGAAGTTAGATAATTCCTTTAATATTCATCGGGCCCCGTGGATTTACCTATGTCAAGCTTAATTAGCAGACCGAAGATATCGAGTTCTTTAATGGTCAGGCTGTCCAGTGTTTGTGTGGGTGGATTTTCAAGGATTGATGAGAAGGGTGTTTCTAAGGTATATACATTGCTAAAGTATTTTGAGAAGACTTGAACTTTGCCAAAGTCGTCCTCCACTAATGATTAGGCAGTACTGTCTCACCATAATGAAGGAACATTTCTTCTTCATTTTGTCCTTTGGTTTATATACGAATACAAGCGTTTAGGGCATTCTATGGATTCCCTAACGATTTTCTCTTCGTACAGCTTTCTGGCCTTACGGAGGGTCGAGGCACAGGTATTTCAAGCCTTTTGATACTGAGATTTCGCCTCGTCAGTCCCCAGTAACCTAAATCTGTCCCACATTTTCCTTCTTTTACGGAGAAGGATGCGAACCTCCCTACTGAACCACGGTGGGGAGTTTCTCGGCCCCCTAGGTGTAGTCCAAAGGATGTGGGGGGCGGTAATTTTTAAGTATAAATTCCGGAATACGTCCCAAGCCGTTTTGATTGAGGACTCTTGGTCTATTGTCCAATCTACTGATGATGCCGAGTGCATGGTGTCTTGTATGTTTGCTTTCCAGACGTTAGGTCTGGATTGAGCTGAGGCGTGATCGACAGTTATATGGAAGTCAAGGGTTAAAACTGCATGATCACTTTTACGTAAGGGGTGGCATGTAATCCAGGTTTGCAACGTCATCCTCACAGTGAGTCAATCTAAGATCTAGTAAGGATGATGCAGAATCCGGGTCGTAACTAGTTGCTTCTTTCACATGTTGCACTAGAGCACATGTGATAACCGCATCAACTAGTTCCAGATTTCCCTAGTCCACCATGGGTGCATTAAAGTCTTCTAGGATTAAACATCGACCACTTCGTGACCAAGTGCTCAGACTGCTTAGCAGGACCTCATTTACCTAACAGCTTGGACTGCGATAGATCAAACCAAGCAGCAGCTCTTGTCCCTTGCATTTCAGGCGGCAGCTAACAAATTCATACGTCCCACTCTCATAAGATACAATGTCGATAATGCTGAATGGGATAGCATTCATAATGAATGGAGCTACTCCCTCTCCTTTACGCTTTTGTATTCTATCGGCCCTTACTAATGTAAAACCCTCGAAATCAAGTTCCCTACTATCTAAAGACGGCGTCAGCCAAGTTTCTGTGACTGCGATTATGTCTGGTTTAGTGTGGTCAATCTGTACACCTGGTTCCGATTGCTTATTGAGCAAGCTCCGAGCATTGGTGTAACAGATCCGAAGCCTATTTAAGTGGCCTTGTGCTTCACCCAGAGCGGCTTCGGCATCATCCTCTGTCAAAGCCTCACAACCCGAAAATTTACAATTGTCAGGTCTTTTTCTCCAGCGTCTAATCTGAGCTGTAGTTATTTTTCGGCTTCCCGTCTTTTTACACGGTCCGCCAGCGGTAAGTCCTTACGGAGAAAAACTCCTGAACTTTTTAATTTGTGTCTATTTTGTAAGATTAAGTAGCGTTCGTTTGCGGATTTGAAAACTACTTTGAGCAGTCTAGACTGATTAGGCTTCAAATTCGCCAGGCTACCTAGTCTATACACCTTTAGCAAGGTGACTCCGGAGATGCTTTGGGGCATAACTTGGTTGAGTAGCTGTCATGCTCAAAACGAGCTTTCGGTTCTGAGCTCTCACTCTCCTTGATTCTATGGGAAGTGATTGATCTGTCTCTGTGATCAGACCTCGACTTGTCGACCCTTTTGATGGGGGTATGATTTCCTTTTACGTCATTTTGGCGTTTTTTTCTTATGACCCGTACCCAATCGTCAACGTTCTTTGGAGTGGTAACCACATTCGCGTCAGGCGTACTGTGGGATTCCGGAAGAGTCAGGACGACTTGAGAGATTAGGTCATCTTTCGCGCTGGAAACCGATCGAGCCTTGCGGTTTCGGCTTCCTGAAGTTCCCTTCTGGGTACCATTTTTGATACGAGGGACAGAAGAGACTTTTTTGCGCGAGTTTCCGGTTGGGGCATACCTCTTTGGAGGCTGTCCTTCCTCCTTTGGACGATGTGAGTCGGCATTTTTTGAACTCACTTGTGCTTGTCTCACATCACTCTGCGTGTTGACAGATGGAGTTCTGACCGACGTGTCCCGATCGCGCTTGCCGAGACACTTTTTCACGGCATTGACCATCGAGATGGCTTCGGTTAACAGGCTATTTGCATCCAGATATCACTGTTGACATAGCCATATACAACCATTCCTACTGAACCATTTGAAAGCTGCAGGCGATAGATTTGTGCAAACCTCGTGGTACCAGCCTTTGCACTCGTCGCACTGCATACCGCTGTCAACGGGATATCGACAGCCTGGACGCTGGCAAATTCTTTTACTGCACCTTCTAGTCATTGGAGGAGGAAAAAGTGAGATTTGACCAAAAAGTAGAAAACTGTAAATAGTTAGGACCAAAGTACTAACAGATACAATAGAAAAAACAAGGTACTCTAGAGTACCGACGATAAACTATTTTAGAAACCAAAAACGATACTCTAATCGAATACTTTAACTGAAAGAAATTCAATCAAAGTATGAACAGTAGTCTTCATACCTTAATAACGATCAGAACAATAGAATTTATTCAACGAGAAAAAATACCCCTGTCCTTTCTTGATCGACTTTGGCTTGATTTATTTGATCAAGGTTTGAGATTTGTCTTACAGATCCATTTTGTCTACCATTTTGGTTAATTTTTAAGATGGTCGGCTCTACTCACAAGTGTGGGCAGCCATATTACTTATTCCCTGCAGAAGATGGAATACAATGTAATGAGTGTACGAAGTTGTTTCATAAAATGTGTACCCGCTTAAGTCCCACTGCTTATAAAAGGTGCTCAAAGCCTAACTCTCATTGACTCCGCACGTTTTGTTGTTCGAGCAAAAAATTACTCGTTCAAGAAGCAATTAACCCTCTGGTGTTGGCTAACAAAATGGTTGACGAGGACTGTACCGATAACATGGGTACTGATAACGAAGAATATGTCGGTGTCGTAAGTGCTGTCATAGCACGTGCCAGACACCCAACTTTGCAAACCTCCTGACACATTGAAGTTAGTGCTGCTTTGATCTCTTTTCCGTTGTCCTCCATAGTAGTATTCTCTCCTTCGAGTAGATCTTGTAAGGCTTGTGACCTGTTGTTGGGATCTATCTTGAATCCGTTCAGTTTGTCAGTATTTAGAAGGAAGTCTGTATTGAACCTTTGTAATGCTGTTTTCCCAGTTGTCCAATGCTTCTTTAGCTCTAATTTCGTCTTAGAAACTACTAGGTAGTGAACAGATGTTATATCAGCTCTGTGTTCTCACATTTTCGAATAAACTCATAACAGCGGTTGAGGCAGAATAATATGCATTCATCATATTCCATGGCTTCTAATCAACTGCTTACAATCATGTATGTATTAAAGTGTAATATTCAGGTAAGATATAATGTAAAACAATTGACATCAATGGCAGTATTTCGAAGAAATGCTGTTTTCCCGGTTGTTTTATGCTTCTTTAGCACCAGTCTCATCTTGGCAACCACCAAATAGATGGTGATCTGAAGCGGTGTCAGTTCCTCTTCTGATTCTCACGTCTCCCATTGACCTTGCGAATATTTTAATGATGCAAACATAATCCATCTGGTTCAATGTAGTGTGATTTGGTGAGAGCCATGTTGCTTTGTAAATGGGTTTGTATGGGGATAGCGTACCGCCTATATCTTTGCCTGTAGCTAAAAACACACTAACCAGGAACAATTCAAATCATTTTGACTCTGCCCTGAGAGTTAAAGGAAGAGTTATGATGCCTCATGGTAAAGCCGAGATTCTTAGGAAGTCATGAGGCTGATGCACCTTCTAACAACCAGAGCAACCATTTATCTAGGTACATGGAACTTTGCAAACAGTCACATGTACATATATGAGAGGACTTTAGGGAAGCTGTTTGCGTAAACAAATATAAGCAGGAAAAAGTTACCATACTTGGAAAAATACAACTCACACATGTAATCAACGAAGTGAAAAATCCATACATTTGGCCGGATCAATATAAAGCAATTCAGTTACTAATTGTTTTACCTGGAAAAGTGTGAAAGAATAAATTTGAGCTCGTACATGCAACAAAAATACGCCTTAGAATAATCAGTGAGTTGTAGTTTACAGAAAAGAATAACGATGAAAAACACCTTGGATTTCGTAGCTCCACTTAACGACATATCAAGAAAATAGTAAATGGGATGTAAATGCAAGGAAGGATATATGGGAAATGGAGAGTGAAATATCAATACGTTTACATTCGAAAATGATAAATTGAGTTACACAAACAATGAGTAGAAGAGCGAAATGAAAAACGTTATGAGAAATCATTGGAGCGAGTGAACTCTTCTGTTCTTAAAATAGTCCCCAAAATCTACAAGCAACCTACAGCCATCGAAAACCGCATCTTTCGTATTCTAAGCCGCAAAAGACACTGATAGGAGGAATAAAAACGAACTGGTAACAACCACAAGTACACGCAAAACAAACATAAAAAGAACATATACACAAAAGCCGTTAAAAAGAAAATATGCTAAACACAAGATAAACCTTATCAGTAAATCTGTCTACAATACATGTAGCTCATTCTGTTATGTAGTCTCTCTTCAACAAGCTAAAACTGGAGTTTCACAACTGCTAGGTCCTAAAATTCCGACCAATAACAATGTTGACGCCGCTAATCTTCTGGTTGAACAGTACTCCCGGACATTTCAACCGACCCACACTAACCATATTGATGAAAGCCTCATCTGCAACTGCACAGGACTTTCCGAAGTAAACCTGAGCGCTGACTTGGTATACCGGAAACTGCAGCACCTAACAGGACACTTCTGGTCCGGATATGGCTCATTCTGGTATACTGAGTGAAGCAGCTTCAATCCTGGCAACACCACTTAGCGTGATGTTCTCACAGTCGCTAAGCCGAGGTACATTGCCGGAAACTTGGAAGCTGGCTCACATCACACCAATTTTCGAAGGAGGTCGACGCAGCAAACTGCCAAGATACCGACCGGTTGCTCTTCTCCCTATACCTTCAAAAATCATGGAATCCCTACCATGCGACGGTATACACGACTACTTACTATCCTTAAACCGTTTTTCACACCAACAGCACGGTTTCAGGAAAGGTCATTCCTGTATAACTAACCTGCTGACTATGGTGGACAGATGGACAACCATCTTTCATCGCAAGGGGGGGTTGACATCATTTAACTTGACTTCTCAAAAGCTTTCGGTAGGGTCAACCATATGTCTTATCAATAAGCTCAAACGACTAGGTATCAAATCACCTTTAACTGATTGGCTCACTTCACATCTAAAAAATCGACATTTTAAGGTCAGGGTTAACTTCACTTTCTCGCAGGCTATGGAATGTCCTAGTCGGGTCCCCCAGGGTTCAGTACTAGAACCTCCTCTTTTCTTGGTTTACATTAACGATCCTCCTCAACAAGTTTCATCTGACTTATTACTTCTGCTGATGATGTGAAACTTGGGAGAGAGAAATACGCGACGAAGAGGATATACTGGCACTTCAGAAGGATCTGACTCGACTTCAAAGTTAGGCAGACGACAACGGACTTACCTTCAACACTTCAAAGTGTAAAGTAGTCCATCTGAGATATGTTGTAGACTAGTTACAACTTAGGTAACTCCTGTCTAGAAGTATTCATAGTTGAAAGAGATTTAGGAGCGCTGGCATCCTGCCAGTTGAAGTCTTACGCTAACTGTGACAAAAACGCCTTTCAAGCAAACCTTGCACTGGTAACATTGAAGCGCATTTTTGGCCAGTTTGACGGAAGAACCTTCCACATAATCGACAACAGTTCTATTTGTCCTCATTTAGAGTATGAAAACATAGTATTTCCTCCATCACTCAAAAAAGGACACTGCAACGTATCCAACGGCGAGCCACGAAATCAGTTCGGGGACTCGAATTTAAGCCTTATGAAGAGCGCCTCCAATCATTAAACCTTTACCCATTAGATTACAGGTGTTCTAGAGGTGACCTTTTAATGGCTTTTAGCATTTATAACACTTCTGGACATCCCCTTAAACACCTACTTAAGTTTAGCTCCAACACAAATCTAAGCGGTAACACCCAGAAACTGAAGACACAACACAGCAAAACGTACTGTGAAAACAACTTCTACTCCTTAAGAGCAGTTGATTGCTGTAATTCACTGCCTACTGAGCTAGTCCAAGCGACTTCCTAGGAGTCCTTTAAGAGGAAACGTGACTTATTATTAAGGACTAAGGATAACATATTATTATGATTTGCCAAATTCATTTTTCCCTCTATTATCGTTAATATACCTAGGTTTTTGCCTGGAGGTATCGGTGATCCACTGCTACTAGACACAGAAGCCCGTTAAGCGAAAGCTTCTTCTATTCCGTCCTCAACCATTTGAACCATTTGACGTTTTCTAACTACCTATCAAATCAAAATAACTTATTGAGGATTATCAATTGGAAAAATTATAGTAAACGCATCCAGAGATATATAACTGTTATGTACCATCAATGAGTGATTACCAAAAAATTTGTTGGTTTATATTTTTTTACAAAAGGGTTTAGGATACTGGGACGAATACTGAAGCGGCTGTTCCGAGTTTGGTCGGTACGAATCCTGGAATCTCCACATGGATATGTGACTTAGTTCGGATATGTGTTTTTTGTCCTTTGAAATATTCATAGACTATTGTTGTTAATAATTATGCCAAAAAGTAAATGGTCATTTTCCCATCCAGTAAGTAATCCTAGTCCACCTGGCTGACTTGTTTACTGTTTCACTGTATATTGTTCTTGCGTTCCGTCGTAAGTTTCTAAATTACATAAAAATATCGTATTATGTCCGTAAGTTATCTTTGTTTTTGAGAACTCCATTTCATTGTTTTAGCTACAAACCAACCACCCCAAATTGGTAAATCGTGGGATACTATCCTTAGTCCTTAAGAATATGTCAAGTTTTCTCCTAAAGGACACCTAGGAAGTCGCTTGGACTAGCTCAGTAGGCAGTGAATTACAGCAATCAACTGCTCTTAAGGAGTAGAAGTTGTTTTCACAGTACGTTTTGCTGTGTTGTGTCTTCAGTTTCTGGGTGTTACCGCTTAGATTTGTGTTGGAGCTAAACTTAAGTAGGTGTTTAAGGGGATGTCCAGAAGTGTTATAAATGCTAAAAGCCATTAAAAGGTCACCTCTAGAACACCTGTAATCTAATGGGTAAAGGTTTAATGATTGGAGGCGCTCTTCATAAGGCTTAAATTCGAGTCCCCGAACTGATTTCGTGGCTCGCCGTTGGATACGTTGCAGTGTCCTTTTTTGAGTGATGGAGGAAATACTATGTTTTCATACTCTAAATGAGGACAAATAGAACTGTTGTCGATTATGTGGAAGGTTCTTCCGTCAAACTGGCCAAAAATGCGCTTCAATGTTACCAGTGCAAGGTTTGCTTGAAAGGCGTTTTTGTCACAGTTAGCGTAAGACTTCAACTGGCAGGATGCCAGCGCTCCTAAATCTCTTTCAACTATGAATACTTCTAGACAGGAGTTACCTAAGTTGTAACTAGTCTACAACATATCTCAGATGGACTACTTTACACTTTGAAGTGTTGAAGGTAAGTCCGTTGTCGTCTGCCTAACTTTGAAGTCGAGTCAGATCCTTCTGAAGTGCCAGTATATCCTCTTCGTCGCGTATTTCTCTCTCCCAAGTTTCACATCATCAGCAGAAGTAATAAGTCAGATGAAACTTGTTGAGGAGGATCGTTAATGTAAACCAAGAAAAGAGGAGGTTCTAGTACTGAACCCTGGGGGACCCGACTAGGACATTCCATAGCCTGCGAGAAAGTGAAGTTAACCCTGACCTTAAAATGTCGATTTTTTAGATGTGAAGTGAGCCAATCAGTTAAAGGTGATTTGATACCTAGTCGTTTGAGCTTATTGATAAGACATATGGTTGACCCTACCGAAAGCTTTTGAGAAGTCAAGTTAAATGATGTCAACCCCCCCTTGCGATGAAAGATGGTTGTCCATCTGTCCACCATAGTCAGCAGGTTAGTTATACAGGAATGACCTTTCCTGAAACCGTGCTGTTGGTGTGAAAAACGGTTTAAGGATAGTAAGTAGTCGTGTATACCGTCGCATGGTAGGGATTCCATGATTTTTGAAGGTATAGGGAGAAGAGCAACCGGTCGGTATCTTGGCAGTTTGCTGCGTCGACCTCCTTCGAAAATTGGTGTGATGTGAGCCAGCTTCCAAGTTTCCGGCAATGTACCTCGGCTTAGCGACTGTGAGAACATCACGCTAAGTGGTGTTGCCAGGATTGAAGCTGCTTCACTCAGTATACCAGAATGAGCCATATCCGGACCAGAAGTGTCCTGTTAGGTGCTGCAGTTTCCGGTATACCAAGTCAGCGCTCAGGTTTACTTCGGAAAGTCCTGTGCAGTTGCAGATGAGGCTTTCATCAATATGGTTAGTGTGGGTCGGTTGAAATGTCCGGGAGTACTGTTCAACCAGAAGATTAGCGGCGTCAACATTGTTATTGGTCGGAATTTTAGGACCTAGCAGTTGTGAAACTCCAGTTTTAGCTTGTTGAAGAGAGACTACATATTAGAATAAGCTCTTGGGTCTATATGTTTCGGATTGAAAGACATGCTTTATAATATGAAATATTTGTGGTGTTTTTAAACCAAAATCGTTTAATTAACCACTCTAAGGCTTCGGTTTTTGTTTAAGGTTTTGCTGTTGGGCTGTTTTTTGCGTACTAAGATTTATTGATTGGAATTACTTTCTATTTAGTTCTGTCCCTCTCTTTTTGTATGTCCTGTTATCATCTCCATGTCGTGATAGCATGGCATGGGAGTGTACCTCAATGCACAGGTTGTGCCATGTTGTATTTTGGTGATATCCGTCTGTTTGTGGAACTATAGCTGGTTGGGTTGCTCTTTGTTTAGTTACTACCGCTTTGAGTCAAATTAGTGTATGAGTTTTCGAGTTGGAGAGCGAAATTCCGGCCTACGTATTTTTTTGAATCCATGTCCTAAAAGCTCCAAGGTTGCAATTATAAAACCGCGCTATCCTATCAATTTTTCACAACGTCCATTTCTGTACACTTTGACAAATCTGGAAACAAGTTTCATCAGCCAAATTTATGGTTTATCGGTTCCCAAGTTTAGTGTCTTCGAGACACGTATGTCAGGAAAACGTGTATTCGCTTGTATATCTACATCTTAACATCACGTCCATCCTGGGCTTCATTGGTTAATTTATTTACTGTCACTGTTTCATTTTCACTTGGTATGTTTAATTATTTCTATAGCTCCACTTCTTCAGAGTGCTCCATACAGCCTTTTTATTTTATCTATTTTGATCTTCCTGTGAAATATAATTGTTGCAACCTACCCTGGTCGTGATTCTAAACTTTGGTTTGGCACTGAGTACACATTTTAAGGGGTGAGTACGATTCCAACTCATTAACCTTCATCAGCACAATAAAAAAAGTTAAAGAGATGGGGTGTGGACAACACAAGAGGTACTGAAAAGACAAACATAAGGAATATGCCATAAATAACCTTGTACTTGGAAATACGATGCATAGAAAAGATCAGATATTGAATCATATCACTTCAAATATTTAATAGTGGTTAAACTATACCCACTCAATAGGTTGCGTGTATAAACCCCGTTCCACCTATTTTGGTCTACAGAACTGGATAGTATTACTGGCTCACAAACAAAGCAGCTCATTATCAAGTACATAAGGGGTCATTTGGTGACTAAGTTAAGTTCAATGCTGTGTGGAAGATCGATATCAAACCTCAAGCTCCTATCGTTATCTAAAATTTCACTACTAACATAAAGCAAGAAAGATAGCAGCTGATTTAGACAAGTCAACCCCATAGACATACAGAAATCGTGTACATAGGGCCTAGAACAGAAGTGCATTGGTTTGGGTTGCCATACTCATTAAAACGATGAGATAAAAAATAACAAAGGAAGTCAAAACAATGTAGTTGTAATGATAACAAACGACTAAACCTTGGGGATATGATCTAAAAGATGGAGATGAAAGTTACGGGTAGAGAAATACTGGAATTCAAAATCGAGAAGATAAACTGAGTGCATCTGCACTGTTGTGAACTATTTTGTGTCCCTTCACCTAAAGCCTCCAACCATTGATCTCTATTATCACATGGACTCCAACCAGGTGACTTGCATCAACCAACATGGATCAGACCAGCAGTTATTGACTTCATGGACTAATGTTACGCTTTAGTTTGGCTGCCTCTAGTTTTTTCCGAACCTACTTCACTCATAAGTATCATTCATCAAGGTAGGGGTTGATCAGACATATGCATGTTCTGTCGATGAAGATTCACTACCTCACCAACTGACTTGCCAACTTTGTTAAGTACCCTATACCTAACCTCAGCGTTGCTTGCTCGATTATTCTACGAAACGTAAGCAGTGCTTCAAAGACACCTATTGTCAAAAACCTTCATCCTACGTATGTATTCTACTTTCATAAACCATGGGTTTATGGAAAACAAGCAGAATTCTGTGACATCTATTGCACGGATACACTCTCGTTAACTCATCCCATCAGGCTCCGAGCACGATGAAGAGCGAAAACATATCAGATCTAGGCTAACCAAAAGTCTAAGGAATGACTGCGGGCAGTAGTGGGCAACGAGAGCAAAAGAAATGCAAAAGGCAGCGGTTGTAGGCAACACCAGACAACTCTTCTCTTGGTTAGTGGACACGGAAAGTCCACCTAAGGGAGTTGGAAAACCCTGATTCCAAACCAATGGTGCACATGGGCTCCAGTATCCTGAGGGAACAAATGGCGTATGAATCAATCGTTGGTCACCGGCTAGCATGGGACTGCATCTCCTCACGATGCTCCACTGCCATATGGATCAGACCTTTAGGTCAAAGGCTCAGGGTGTGGCCGCCTAAGAAAACTGCCTGCTTCAGTTTGGGCATCTGGGCAGTATCACAGCCCTCACACAAATCAAATGAAATTTGTGCGGCGCATATGTATTCGGTGCCCCTTATAGTAGACTTCAGACTAATAAAAGAAATTGGAATTAAGAATTCAAATGTAAGTGCGACGGTCTCAGAAAAAGACGAAACATTTGCTCTCAGCCCAGACGTTTAGAACGATGGACGGAACACTTTAGAGAACAGTTTTGCTGGCCTTCAGCTACTCCTTAACTACCCACCATTCCCAAACAGCCCCCCAACTCTAATTAAAGTTCAAAATACTACAGCTCAGTCAGTCAGCTACGATGTAGGACCAGGCACATATATCCATCGGTCCAACTTGCCATACTTCACAAGATCAACACCGAATTCATAGAAGTAGTTAATTTAATGATGGTAAAATATGAAAAAAAGATTGTACATAAGGATGTAGTACAAGAAGAAATAAAGATATGGAAAAATTTTAATCTCATAGTTTAAGGAAATACAGAGAGTGTATACACCTATGCCATTGTGATTGATTCTGAGCCATGTCACCCAGAGTCTACAACCATTGGTTACAATAGTCACACGGATCTCAACCAGGTAGTCTGCATCTACCAACATGGCTCAACTCCAAAAGTGGTGACTTCAAGGACTGATGTCACGTTTTGGTTTGGTCACCCCTAACTTCCTTCTATCCGTCTCCAACATCAGTCAGCCTTGAGTGTCGTGGTAATCGGTGGTTGGGTATGCGTAATACACTAATCTTTCTACTGTAAAACGAATGAAGTCTTGTCATGGAATCAGTTAGAACTAAATAATCTGACATTATCTTACTAAAAGATGCCTAGTAAGTATATTGCATTAATAAAGGAACCACTTACGATCCAGGAGATATTATTGGGAATGGGATTCAAATCGTTTCTCATGTTCGGGATTTTGTGATTAGTTGTTTTATGCACTATTTGTGGTTGGAGGGTTTCTACGGTTTGATGAAGAGACAGTATACCGTTTGACAGATAATGGCCAATAATATGATATGACCCCACAAGATTGTATTTTTAAAGCAAGTCCTGAATGAAATAAGAACGAAGGTATATCACTACCAGCTATAAGAGGATGGATTTTTTCTTAAGTACTAAAGTAACAACATAATATATAGTCTATAAATTATATGGATAAAGGACTAGATTTTATAGGCTATTGGAGAGTGTTTCATAGGTTATTCAATAGCCAGTGGATTAAGATCTGACTGTTAGGCTCAATTCATATCCGATATATCAATGTAGTTCGGTAAAGATAAACTTCTATTGCTAACGTGTTGTATCTTCATGGTAAGTTACTACAAAATGTTTGTTGTTTATTTATTAGTCTACTAGTGTTGTCGTTCCCATGTAATACTGACGTCTCATGTTTTTCTTGAAATTGAGGCGTTGACAACTAAATTTGAATTGCGACAACCTTGGAATCCAGTTAATAGAAAGACAGGTAATTTCTTCATGCTTCAAAGATATTCAAGAACATTGTCTCTAAAATATGCTAGTATTCGATGCTAGTGCTAGTAGTATATATTAGAAGCAATGTTTTTAGCATATATTTGAAGCGTTTGTCTTTCAGACACTAAGTCTTAAGCTCGAGTTTCACTCTACTTACTTTGATTTGGACAATGGGGTAGTATCATTAACCCTAGCACTTAGGTTGTGGTTTATACCCAAGTACCTTGTGAATGAGTTAATTTATTATTGTTTTCATAGTTGATGATAAAACTTAGCGGCTTTGGAGTAACAATCGATCCATGTTCTAGACTCCGAGTCTTTATTTGATAAGGATGAGTAATATTGTTTGACTTCTCGAAGTTTTGTGTCAAGCAAATCTGTAACCCATTGACTGAAAATCAGATATCTGTGTTACTCGACTGAAAGTCTACTGAGATGACCATATGTACTGCAATAATTTCTCCTTATCCTACCAGTCAGCCTCATTAGAATTCCTATTTATTTATTTAAACATAAACATTAGCACAGTGAGGCATCAAATATCTATGCACCTCAAAAGTCATTTGATTTATGTGAGGGCTGGAATGCTGCCCAGGTGCCCAAACTGAAGCAGGTGGTTTCTTAGGAGGCCACACCCCGATCCTTTGACCTAAAAGTCTAATCCACAAGGCAGTGGAGCAACGTTAGGAGATTCAGTCCTATGGTAGCCGGTGACCAACAATATGTTCATACGCCACTTGTTTCCTTCAGGATCCTGGAGCCCATGTGCACCATTGGTTTTCGAACTGGCGAAGTAATATTGAATGGGTTTATTCGCGCTTCTCATTTTTCGCTGCAAACGATTGTCAAGTATTATTTAAAGTTCCCAATAAATGCGGCAATGAATTATATGTATTTAAATTTCCTGCATTATTTATCCTATTTTCTTACTTTAATTATCTCTTATCTGTTTAAAAACATTTAGGGTCGATGAATTGTGGATATAAAATCATTTACCAAAATTATCTTCCGTGCAATGAAGTTTAATCAAACATCTGTGGATTCATCGTTGGGTAGTCTTTCTGTATCGTCCGCTGTCAATCGATCATATGACTCATTCTTGAATAATGTGGATACACAACCGGGTGCACTACTTTCTGAACTTTTGTCAGATTGTACACCACTTGACTGTCTTGTTTCAAGCACTTTGCAATCATCCAATAGTCAAGACAATATATCTTTGTCACTCTATGGAGTAACATCATCTTCCAATAGTAATGATAATAATAATAGTAGTAATGGTAATAATAACATTACGAATACTATTGGTAATATGAATGGAATTTATGTTCCAATAAATTCTAATTCACATGATTGCTATAGAAAAAATTCTACAATTGAATTAAAATCTGGTAATGTACATATGTATATGTATATATATGTTTTATAACTTTTTTTCAGTCAGTGTATATTCTCAGAATAACTTCGTATTGCATCTAACTTACTGTTATATAGTTTTTGTAGTATTGGTTTCTTATGAAAGTTTCCGTTTCATTTCGAATTCAATTACTGTTTTAATTGATATTGTATTTCCTGTTATTCACAGGCTACGATAACCTATCTGTCATTAGTTCTCTGTTCTACCCTGCTCACCCTAAAATTAGAGTTTGGCTTCATAAATGAAATTATTACATTAGATTTCTGCAATATATTGCATCAAACTAACTTGTCCAGTAATTCACTGGTACAATTAGAACGATATTCATCTTCTCATTAGGTATGTGTTATCAAATAGTTGTATTCTCAGCAGAGTACCGCTTTTCTATTTGTTTTCAGGAGATATTAATACTTGACTGTGTAATCTCGAAAAATTCAGTTCTAAATAAACGATTATGTTGTGTAACTTGATTTCATGTCCATGCATCAGTCAGAACTTAAAACGTAGATAATTTTTAAGTAATAAGTTCACATATTTTTAGTCATCAAAAATTACTTTCTCTGTAGGAATATGTTGTTTTGCTTGTTTACTTATGAATCAATATAATTTAAATGAATACTAGTTAATGTCTTTTCTTCAACTGGTTGTTGTTTTCATGAATATGAAGTCTCCCGATTTAGTGTCGTTGTAGAATTATTGTTCCATATCACTCGTTGACTGAACTCGAAGAATTTCGACCTAATAGATCAGTGGTATCTCAATTACCAGGAGATTTAACAGTGCTGATTTCGAATTTGCATGAGATCGTGTATTGTGTGCTATTGATAAGTTCGCAACAAAATCGAAATAACTGTTCAGTCCTTTTTGGTCTTTGTATTTTTTCCGAGATGATTTTACCTAATAAGAGAATTATTTTTAACGAAATCTTGACATAACCATTGACAACCATTCATTTATGTTTTTTTCTAACTATTTAACCTGTTTTACTGAAATCTAATGAAATACAATAATTCAGTTTATTCTGTGAATATTATTATTATTCTGTTGCTTGTATATGTGATTGTTTCACTATGGTCCAGGTGTGGATGTCACAAGGACCATTAATCTTATCAATATTTCGGCTATATTTTGCTAACGGCTGCCAACCAACACAAAACCTAGGTCCACAAGACCTTACCAATTACCTACATTTACAAAATGTTACTTCATTATGTTGCATAATAATCACCTTAGCTCATCACGTCTTTTCTAATGGTTATTTGTTATCAACAGTCTTTTTGTGTTGCTTTGGAAGCAAATAAACAGGTCTGTTTTTGTGTTTTCAAGTGTCACTAGATATGTATGTAGATATCCAGTCAATCTGAAAAGAGCTAAAAATGTGAAAATATGCTTAGTTGATTAGATCGACATCTAAAATAAAACATGTATTCTATATTTCATTATTTGGTCTTGTCAAGATTCTAATAGTGAACTTTAACTTTTGAAAATAGAGGATATTCGTAGGTTGTTAGTATTTGATCATAAATGCCTTCTAAGCATTACTCACATATGTTAGGACCATTAAGTTAGCTATCCTGAAGTTGGATGAAGAGGACTAGTCAAGAATGACGAATTAGTTATTGTGATTGTGAGTCTTGGTCGACTGTGGTGATTGAGACATGTATTACGTGTACCCAATCTCCGCCTGTCTCAACTTACGATATTTGTTGGTGTAGGGTTGAGTTAGACTCGTACAAAGTTATGAGTGGCCTAACCGAAACATGTAGTCAATTTATAAAATCATCGACCTTTGATCTGAGCCATGTTGATAGATGCAGAATACATTGCTGGGGTCTGGGTGATTATTGAAACCAATGATCAGAGACTTTGGGTAACATGTTTCAAAATCGTTCACAATGGGGCAGGTGCACTCACTCTTTGTCTTCCCTTCGAACTTGAGTTTTAAAATTATCTTATACTTTTTATTCTTGGAATTCATTCTTCGTTCTCGAATAATAGTGTCCAGGTGTCTAATTTTTCTACTACTACTCGGGTTCGTTTTGATATTATGTAACAACTTTGACCAATGGATATAAGTTTCAGGCTCTGGGTTGCTTGTAACTAACTTAGTAATTATATTATCCATCCATTCAAATAGCGAAATAGTATGTCAACAGCTTAGTAAATAAATCAACAGTCTGAAACGATCAATTCTCATTTAGTTTACTTCAAGAAGTGTTAGACTGCAAGCGAATGACGCTGGAATTTACTTAGTGTTGTTTGTTTGGATCTTCCCATTGATGTTTTTAGGACTGCAACTGGACAGTCTCTAATTGGCATATGTGCATACTGTGCGTATTGCCTCGATATAGCCTTAATTCACAAGCATGATAAGCAAAGATGAATATTGGCTAGCAATGGAATCCAGTTTGACGCGCGTTTCGTCCTATTTGGGACTCGTCAGCTGGATGTACCTGCATCTCAGAGTTGACGTTCACTCTGGGACTCGAACCCAGTACCTTTCGCTTAAAACAATGCCAACTAAATCTCAACTTCACCCCATTGCATAAGCAAGTGGCTATCAGGACTCAGTGGCCGAGTGGATAACGCGATGGCGTTTGAAGCGAAAGGTACTGAGTTCGAGCCCTAGAGTGAACGTCAACTCTGAGATGCAGGTACATCCAGCTGAATAACGCTGGAGTTTGAAAAAAAAAATTGATAAAGAACCTTTTAATCAGTTTAGTTTTTAATTTACTGTGGTATACTTCATAAAATATATTGAAGAAAGGTCAATTTGTATTTAGATTATTACGTTTTAACATTTTATGTATATATATTATACACAATTTTAAACAAACCACTCGTAAGTTTTCTTTAATTCTCTTTTTCTTGACCTTATAGTTGTAATAGTGTCTAAGTTCTTTTCTCTAGTCTCGTTTCGTTTTATAGGTCATCGTCTGTTTTTATTTCATTCATTGTGCTGTTAACTTCTTACAGATTTCATAGTATATTGGTAGTAGTAGTAGTAGTATGGTAATAATAATTATTATGATAAAGTAACCCTAACGTGCGTCAGATGTGTTTGTCTTATTTTGTCAAAGGTTAACACACACAAACAAACATTAACCGGTCAAGGTTATTCACTATGACGAAAAAGTCTTCTTTTATATATATATATATATATATATATGTACTATTCTCATTTCTGTTTTCATCATTATTAGAGTTGACTACCTCTTAGCTATAAAAAAATAATCAACTATGTCCAGTTTCAACTGATTTATATTCAAAATTTTATAATGAAAAAAATTTATGGATTTATTACTATTTTTTACATAGTAGAAAGCATGAGTCAATCGAAGCTAGACCACTATGGAAAACCTGGAAACACTGGACGTCCGTTTCGTCCTATTATGGGACTCCTCGGCAGTGCGCATCCACGAACCCGCTCTCGCGAGATTCGAACCCAGGACCTACTATGAAAAAAATACTAAATCTCCACAAAACCCCTTTCTGATAATTAATATAATCATATGCTCACTAGTGACTTCGAGAAGTATATCTAGGAGCTCTAGTGAGAAGCAGTGACCAGTGGAGTTCAAAACCACGTCTGTTGTGAGATAGGAACTCATTGGAGACAATTGGTGAATGGTTGCTCAACTTCGTGGATCAGTTGAAGTTAGACATTAACACCGTTGAATGCTGGCTCAGTTGTCTATCGGTTAAGGGCTTCGGCTCGAGACCGGTAGGTCCTGGGTTCGAATCTCTCTCGCGAGAGGGGGTCGTGGATGCGCACTGCTGAGGAGTCCCATAATAGGACGAAACGGCCCTCCAGTGTTTCCAGGTTTTCCATGGTGGTCTAGCTTCAATTGACTCATGCTTTCTACTATGAAAAAATACTAAATCTCCACAAAACCCCTTCTGATAACTATTTTTTACGTTAAAAACAAATTAGTTAAGTAGGTGGTGAAAAACTATCATTAAATCGTTTCACACACATATAATTCTTAAGTAATTGAGTTGGGTTGATTTGCTATTCAATGATGTATGCACTTCTTTTCTAGATGCTTCTAGGTACACCAGGGTCATTTGTATCTCCTGATTATTTTTAGTGTTGGATAGAAGTAGGATCAGAGAAGTACGCTGTGTCCTATGTAAAATTTGTTTGGTGTGTCTGTGTGTCGTTTTTGAAATGAAAGTTTATTTTGTTGAACTACTTTATAGTATTCATTGGACAACTCAGCTAAAGTATTCGTCTTTTGCTCATCAGGCATTGGGTATTATGAAGAATACAAATGCAGTGTATCACTATTTATTTTAATGCCAGTTGCCTCCAACTTCTTTGAACCAGGTGCATTGTTTAGTTATTAATAGGACTACTCAGCCATACAAAGCTTGGTTAGTAGATGGCGTTCAGATCCATGAGTCATTGTCTTCACTACCAACTAACAGCTTCCATTGGTAAACGGTTAAATATACTTCAAATATCTATTTTTAAGGTCCCAAAGTATATAAGTAATATTCATCACAAACTTACATTAAGTAAAACATGTTTGAAGACGAAGAAGTCTCATCATCGAATCCCTTAGTGAGTATAATAGCATTTATTCACTGAACTAAAATTCAGTGGTCCATCTTTTTGACTTCAGTCAATAATGTGTTATAATATGTTGAATATAACCGACTTAAATTTTTATAATCCTTTACTAACAGAGTGCCTGTGTAACTCCAATTACGTAAATGGTTAACTTTTAGAATACCGAACAAATTTGTACTTGTTTAAGCATAACAAAGTGTCAGTATAGGGTTGTGGAGATTATTGAGTTTCATTAAAATCATTGGATAGTGGCTCATTGGTCTAGAGTTTAAACGTTTGCACGCACGATCAAAAGCCCTAGGTTCGATTTCCGCGTGCGGAATCGTGAATGCGTACTTCTGAGGAGTTCTGTGCCAGGACGAAATGGCCTTCCACTGCTTCCACGTTTTCAGTGGCGTTTTAACCTCGATCAGTTCAGGATTTGCGTGAAATATAACAAAATGGTTTCGTGTGATTCAGCTTTTTATTTTAGCTCTGTGGAGTCAATTTATCGCTCACTCAGTTTTGATGTTTAGATCAAGATCTAAAAATTGATAGAAATTTTGCTATTTATGAACTAGGTTGTCATTATTTTATCCTTCATGTAGTTATTTTGGTTACTTTTAGTTAACCTGCAGCTCATTATTTCGACAATTCCGTTTTGCGATCATTATTTTAGCGATTTAAAGAGTTAGTTTTAAACTTGTAGATTACAAGCTCAAATTCCACTCCACGTATTTCGTTTTAATCACAACTCAGAAATAAAGTGTGACTTAGAACCAAGTAGATAAGCATTCAAACTTAAAATGATTTGGTGATGAAGTTCTTTGACACTGATTTCAAACTTTGATGAAATGCTAGTCTCTTCATAGTCCCAAATACTTTTTGTTAAGAAATGCTAAAATGTATGAGGTCTTGATTTAGTTTTCTGTTATTTATTTCCAGGTATCTAACGTTTGTAGACTTAAAAAATCACATGGAATTAAGTGTCAGGATTTTTGTTATCTTGATATTCGCCATTAGTTATTAGCTGATTGTTAGTGTAAAGGCTTATCGTGGTTCATTTCACAATCTTATCGGTTATCCAAAACACGCTACAAAAAAAGTGTCCAGTTGATTGACATGTATTTGTTTCAGTTAATTCTTCATTGAACAAGACTATTTCCTAGCCTTGGTTTTTTGATGAAATTTGTTTCATTTTCGTACTGAGATATTATGTAACTCACTAATTATTAAAAAAAATAATTTGATTTTCCATTACATATATACTCATTCCTGTAAATATCCACACTATTCGACCACTTGGGGAAAAAAGTGAAATAGGGTTCAAATTTCTAACTTAATTAAACAGGTATTAAGAAAATATTAAAATTATGGTCCACATTAATAGCATTCTTAAACATAAAAGAAATATCCTATGTTATGTGGTGTTAATCTTTTATGCCTTTTAAATCAACCATTGTGGTTCCACAAAATTAACTGATTCATTGTCATGAATTATGATACACTCACATAGTATGTCTTCCTATTTTATCCCAATGAACTTAGTATTTACTTCATTATTGACTCACGACTTGTTGGCTTGAACAACACTCAACTTTCTCAGGTTTTGGTTGCATTTCGTTTAATACATACAAAACAGTATCGATATCCTAAATACAGTATAGCATGATTCATAACTCGTGTAATAAATTCAGACATAATTACTGAATCAAGTTTTCTGTAAGTTTGTTGTGTGAATTGAGTAACTGCGTTTAAGATATTTTTCAATATATTTTCAAACGTATGACAGCTGACACTTTCCTTCTTGCTTTTCAGATCCAGATATATCATCTAAACTTATTGAAGAACAGTCCAAAGATGGTGGTGTACTGTCAGTGACATCGAAACTTGATGATTCTATTAAAGGTAATGTATAACACTTTTGTTCACAGTAATTTTATAAATCATTCCTGTTAGTAAATAAGTGAGTGAATTTCCTTGATTAATTAGATTAGTATAGGGGGGTTTATCAAGGCTCCAGGGTTTTCAAGTGGAGTTCTCTGAGCTGGATGGTTTGGTTGTGGAGCTTTCAATGTTCTTCCTAACAACACCAGCACAATTTTCAAATAGAAGCGAAGTGTTCGGATTTCTCCACATATGAAATATCGAAAATTTTTATCACTTAAGTATTTTTGTTGCCTGTTTATCTGTATTCCTTTTTTACTTTTACTTACGCAATGTGGGGAAATACCTGTTTTTCTTGAATAGCTCTATAGTCACATTGATGATCACTGGTAAAAGACAGCTCGAAACTAGAGCTGGCCATCGATTCCTTTTAGTGATATAGTTCATTCGCCAGGTGCAGATTTGTGTGCTTGGCTTAGAGGCACAATCTAAAAGTGAAGGCTACTGATACCACTTGGTAGGTGGGGCGTTTTTCAAACTTGTGATTTAGTGGCTGAAGGTTCATCCACCTGATAAATCAGTCATCGCTTAAATAATGTATGAGCTGCACCATCGGTCATCCAGTCTTTGTTTCGTATTTTTACAAAATTTCTCATTACTAGTTTAATGTTCTGCCTGTATAACACTTCTTGTATGGGTAATTCCCAATACAGTTTGTGTTATAGATCGTCGTCATCACTTTGAGAATTGATTGATTGGAAATTAGGCAATTCTACTTTGTCCATTTGATATCGATTTCTTCCAATAAACACTGTCTTAATCAGATATTAAAAGAAACAAATTCTTCTTAACTAGTTCTAAGTGGACCGTTAGTTTTTGTTCAGTTTATATATGATTATCTATCTAATACCGAACTATGTTAAATATTAAATAAATCGATGCCAAATTCATCCTTTTGACCGTAACACTGCCTTGAATATTTTAAAATATTTAATAGAATTAAAAACAAGGGAGTTTGTCAATTGATTGGAGAACTCAGTACTATATGTATGTACGGTATTGTTTTTGTTTACATTTCATATCTTTATTCAATTGATTATATATATATATATATATATATATATATATATATATAAACTGCCTACTATTGACCAATAGGAGTTACTTTGAATGATCATATTCTCTAATGAATCAGTTGGTTACTATATTTGTAAATAGTGATTATCGATCTGATCTAGGAATTGTTGATGGTAAGAGAAATAACAAGCGTTAGATTAAAATTTTACTCAATGTTTATCCAACTAGAAATAGCTCTTTAGGAAAGTTTTTGTGGATTAATTAGAAAAAAAAATTTTTTTATCACAAAAAGTAGAAAACATTTGTTATTGAAAAGAATATATGAATCGTATGAGGATTTCATTATAGTTGGAAAATATTAACTATTAAGATCTATCGTTCAATAACAGTTGCGTATTCTCATACATTCGGTGTTAAACGAAAGAGACACTTATACGAAATGCTACCTAACCTTCATTGTCTTTTTTCACTTGTTTTTTCTCAACATGTTACAAAAGCTGTTTTTTAAAACAATACATTTACTAACTGCGCGTATATACGTAAAAATAAGACATTCGAACTGTACATTGATTTCGTCCACTTTTTTGTGTTTCATTATAACTTTCTGTTTTGCTTCGATTCATGAGCTTCTTCGTTTGCAGAGAAACGTTTGTCAGTCAGTTGGTTAGTCATCCTCGAGGTAGAGCCCAATAAAGATGTACGTTGACTCAAGTTGTCATATCACGTCAACATGACAAAATAAATTTCAAAAAATGGAAATAATGTAGTAGCAATGATCAATCAGTTAATCACTCATACGCAACGTGAAATATGGGGCATGTATTCATTGCTTCAAGTTGCCACACTCCATTAGCATAACGAGATAAGTTTGTGAAAACCAGTCCTAGAGTAGTAGAAGCAGTAAAAGTATTAGTGGTAGTAGGGGAGATCAGGCATAGAAAATAAAATTCAAACAGAAAATATGGATCTGTGAAATAAAAAAAGTTTTATTAGGTGAATTAAGAGCTCAAGACTGAAGAGAAGACAAAGAGTAAATGCACATGCTAACGATTGCTAACGATTCTGAACTATGTCATCCCGTTTCCAACCATCGGTTACAATAATCACCCATACCCCAACTAGGTAGTCTACATCTATCAACATGGTTCGGACCAACAGGCAGTAAATTAATGGGCTAATTCCATGTTTCGCTCTGGGTACCTCTAGCTTTTCTCAACCAGCTGACATCATCCATCAAAGTAGACGCTGTTTAGATATATATATGACATGTCCACTTTAGTCGATAAAGATATAAAACTTCATCAGCTGATCTGCCATATTTGGCTTATAACCCGAGTCTAACCTCCACATTACTCGCTTGGTCGTTTCACAAAACGTAAGCAATCTTTCCCTTGATTTGAGACCAGATATATATACGCCACATAAAACAACGAGAATGGGAAGGTAAAAAGAAGGTAAGGTGCGTATAAGGAAAAAAGAAAGAAAAAAAAGAATGATAACAAGCACAAATTGGTGTAATAATAGGAATAATAATGGAGGAAACGGAAAGGTACAACCAGAAGAGTTCTTTCAGTTAAGGAAGTTACAACCACTTTATGAAGAAAGTAAATGAAGGTTACAGCAGAATCGCCATTGGTTTCTATTCTGAGCCATATCTGATAACATCTCTAGCCACTGTGTTGCATCGTCTCTCGGACCCGGCACTTTTGCAGTCACCTAGATACACGAACATCTCAACTACTTCACTCTGCTCATCACCCAGGGTGAGTACAGGATTAGAATCCTGTCGGTCTTGTAGAAGTACTTTGCACTTCGAAGGTGCAAAGGACATACCGTACCTATGGACATTGATTGCTAACTGGTTAAATGCGGATTGCATAGGTTGGACATTATCGCACAGTAAGACAATACCATCCGCATACTCAAGGTCGAGAAGTCTTTCTCTAGGCAACAGATCCACACCGCCATTATTTACATCCGTAAGAGCTGTTTTCAGAATGTCATCGATGGTAAAGTTGGAGAGGAATGGTGAGATTAAGCAACCCTGTCTAACCCCACAGCTTAAATGGAACGATGGAGAAAGGTGGTTGTATGCCCTCAATCTACCTGAGGTGTTTGTATATAGGGCCTTTAAGGTGTTAGTAAACTTCTCAGGCACACCCTTCTTCAATAGACAATCGCAGAGAACAGTCCTGTCCAACGAATCGAAGGCGGCCCTGATGTCAAGACAAGTGGAGAGCGAATTGGTAGGACTTCATCAGTCTTGAATATGGGTCTTGGATAGATAACAAACGTCGATGTTAAGACTTTCTAAAGACATAGCCAGCCTTATCTGTTGTCCGATCTGCATTAATGTGTGAACGTTGGAAGTCAGTATGAATGGTGCACGTGATTTCAGAAAAAAACTTTTAGTATTTGTATTCGGTGGTAGCATCAATTTTCGACCAGTCAGTGACTCGAGATCGCTTGGATAGAACAGTTTCCACCATAGGCATGCTGCTGTATAAGTTGAAAAAATAAGGATACAAAAAAGTTTGAATAAAAAAGAATGAATAAGTGACATGTTAAATAATAATGGTAATGTGAATTTTTTGACTTTTAATCGAAGCGTGAATAGTATTTTCAGTAAATATCGTCATTTCATTTTATTGGTGTGTGGGCTGCGATACTGCCCAGTTGCCCAGACCGAAGTAGGTGGTTTTCGTATGGGGCCATACCCTGAGCCTTTGACCTGAAGGTCTAATCCATAAGGCAGTACAGCAACGTCAGGAGATGCAGTCCCATGATATACGGTGACCAACAATAGGTTCATACGCCATTTGTTCCTTCAGGATCCTGGAGTCCATGTGTACCATTGGTTTGGAATCAGGGTTTTTCAACTCCTTTAGGTGGACTCACCGTGTTCACCGGCCCGCTTTAAGCTCGGGACATCCGCTTTCCGTCCTTACAATTTCGTAAATAACATCACCGTCACGGGAAAGCAGTGAGTAAGACTTCCCTGGCAGAGACTGTATACGCGTGGCCATGTGAGAGCATTTCGAGAGAGAGCGGACTCTCCCCACTCTCGGCCGTACCAGGGCATTTGGGGTAATCGGTTATGTTTTTTCGTATTTGTAGAATTTCTTAGATTTACGCATTGCAAATTTTGATAATTAACTTGACAATTATGACACTGTGAGCTTTTGACTTGAAGACTATCTGGTGCAACACTATATGATGCATTCTAATGGTTACCAGTAACAACAGTAACTCCATTCGTACTTTCCGGTTACTTGGGTTCATATGGACCTTTTATTTAGGATCAGAATTTTCCAGGTCGAACTCTTAGTCTTAAAATCAGGTTTAATTATGTGTCACTCGCTTTTATCTTCTCGCTTCCACGAAATGGCCTTAACATCTAAATCAAGTGAATTGAATTTCTTTGAGAGGTGATGTAAAGGAAATACAATCGTAGTTGTATTTCTTGACATAAAGGGAGCGTTCGATTTCGTAGATCGATAGGTTTCACAGGATTGAAAAATGTACCAAAGAAACATTTTAACCTTGTATAGGATTTCTTATCGAACAATTATGGTTGAGTCAGAGCGTGTGGGGAACTGTATTTTTCGACTATTGAGTTAGCAATTTAGACATCAGGTGGTGTTTTAGGTAAGGATTGCAAATTGATTAGTAAAGTAGTAAAACCTTATCGACTGAGATGGTTAGAATATGTATTACATATTCCCATCGACTCTTTATAAAGACTGGTGTGAGTATAGGTTGGAAAAAAGCTATTTTTGACCAATTCAAAATGTGGCATCAGTTGCCAAAGACACTGACTATTTGACTAACCCGTGTAAATGGGTGCAGACTACTAAGTTGTGGTCGGCGCGATTATTGTAACCAATGATTGGAAACTTTGATTGATATGGCTCTAAATCGTTAATAATTGAGCAGGTGGATTT